TTATTTTATGTTCTATTCTTAGTTCTATAATGTCATTGTAGTAATTTCAGGTGGAATACAGCTTCATAACATATCAGCTAGGGAACTACAAGTCCCAGCATGCCCTCATTGCCCCTGTACAACAACCAGATATTGCCGTTCCCTGGGTGATATGTGTGTGTGTGGGGGGGTGTACAGGGACAATGAAGGCATGCTGGGACTTGTAGTTCCTTAGCTGATAAATATGTGTGGGGGTGGGGGGTACAGTTCTAGTGGATGTTTATATAATATGGGGGGGGGGGCGAAAAAAATGTTCTTCCCCGGGCGCCCATAACTCTGGTTACGCCACTGCTACTATATCTATACTTGGGTGAGCAGATCAGCATTTGGAGTATGATAATGGAAACTGAAGGGATTGATTAAGAATCTGTCAATTGTATTAGGATTCCAAAAATAAACATCACTTTATAAAAAAAACATGCACTACATTGACTGTTACAGTGTTTGCTTTACCCATGTGTAGTAATACATATTTAGCAGAAATAAAGGTTTAATGTGATGTGTCACAGCTATCACGTATGATTACATCAAAGTTGAAGTGGAATTAAACTCTAAAAATAAAAAAAATCTAGCATGTAGGGATTTTGGGCAGATGAGACATTCAAAAACTTTTACTATTTCCCCTAGCAATTTTTTGTATTGTACATATGTCAGGAGTGAGGCAAGAGTGCACACTGCACAGCCTATGTGGCTTACAATGTGCACTTTTGGTTTATTCCTAGCATATGCAAAAAGCCAAGAATAGGCCAGGTGCTTGGGAATGATGTAACTTCTGTGCACATATGCAAGAATTACATCTTCAGTGGCTGCCCAATGGCCAAAGTGGACTGCCACAGGACCCTAAAACAATATGCAGAACTAATGGCAGCAGGGGATGTAGCGGTGACAAGTGCACCAAGTCACCACTGGAGGACAGCACAGGAGGAGGTAGGCTTGTGCCATAATCTGATTATGCAAAAGCTCCCCCCAACCAATGACAATTATATCCGCTTCAAACCAAAAAATCTAAGTGTTTACATCGCTGTAAAGGCCAATAGCTATCTGATAAGAGAAGCTTCTTGGCAACATTGACCCAGTGAAAACAATATCTCCTCTTAAAGCATTTATGATCAAAGGGCTTGCACAAAGGGATGCATCTGTACGAGGCATGGTGTATGTTTCACTTCAGATTACTAACAAAGCAGGAGGTGAATGCAGGGCAAAAGCTACATTTGGAAACTTTTCCTGATTAACAGAATTGTTTCTTATCCTACAAATAATAAAAGAAGACACCTGCTTCTTGACCTGTTTTCATTCCACTGAGGAACACCTATGCATGGTTCTCCCAGAGCTTCAAACATTCCCTCACCAACATGTCCATCTTTCCTAGTTTTTAAAGTTTGGGGTATGATGTTATGTGCTTTATAAAATACATCTGAAATGAACAGTCAAATTTCAGAAGTTGTATAAGGCAAGGAATGTGTAGAGCAAAGTGATAACCATGTGTGGGGGCGTGGCCAGGATGTGAGGCTGAACGGACGTCCATTGCAGATGATAACCATGTAACCTACTTGTTCTCACACTACAGCTCGTGGACAAGCATGTCCTATAATAAGGATATAGATTCCTCTATTACCATCATCTTCCTCCTTCATCTTTTTCAAGACACATTGTCAAATTCAGAAAGGGTACAGAAATTAATAAGAAACCTTAGCCAGCAAATGGGAATGTTGATAACCCTAGTAATGACAGGGTCATAATATGCAACGCCTTCTTCCTCCCACATATAGTGTGACCCACCAATATGTTAAGAAACAACAGTAATAGGAAAATAATTGAAAACTACTAAACATTTGACTTGTTCATTCAACGTTTCCATGCCTGAAAATATTTTGTGGGACTATGATTGATTATTTGTGTTCAAAAGGCTGCTCCAGCAATACTGCAACTGTAAAGAAATATGGCTAAAAATGTAGCTGCCAATGAACTTGACTGAACGCTTTGAGAGTCTTACCAATCAAAGAACCTGACTGGATGTCATATTTAATGGAGTAGTTATGAAACATAAAGCCTCTAGTTCATTAGTGGCTGCATTATAGGTGTGTTATTTTTCAAAGTGCACACATTATTCACAGTACATCTGCAGCATTTTAAATGTAGGACAAGACTATATTGCCAAAGGCTTATGAGTTAGTAAATGCACCAGCATATTTACATATACATAAATATACATATCTAAAGTTTCAAATTGTAGAACTGTTTTGATCTCTAAATATAACCTATTAGCAGCTTTAATTCAGTTACTTAAGCAAGGAGGAATGCTAATATTCAAACTAGCTGATCTCCTAAACCAATTATCTAAACATCTTGATCTGTGCCTCACTGCTTCAACCCTTTCGCTGCCATGGCCATTTTTTTGCACATGTTATAATCCACATTTTAGGCCTGTGGATTATAACCCCCAAACATTATATATTTTCTGGAAACAAAAACCCTGTAGAACAAAATGGTGGCAGTTGCAAATTGTTATGTTGTACAAAATTAGCGCAACTCTTTATCAAACTCAAAAATGTTGTAAAAAATTTACATAAGTTTATTTTAGTGCCCAAAAAACACATCCTTTTTTTTGTTAAATAAAATTATCAGGTTACGATGAGTAAATAGATACCCAACACACCCAGGTAAAATAAAATTATGAGGTTAAGACGAGTAAATAAATACCCAACATGCCCAGTTAAATTAAAATTATGAGGTAAAGATGAGTAAATAGATACCCAACATGCACAGGTTAAAAAATGCGTGCGTCCGTGTAATGGCGGCAAAGCACGGTACCCATAAAAAGCCCCTACAGATCATCAGTTTAGAGATATTCATGAATATTGGCCCTAGAATTATTGCTCTCACTGTGGCGCACACAGCGATACCAAACATGTGTAGCACAATTGTCATTTTTGTATGTAGGCACACCCAACGTGTGTGTTCATTTATTACATTTTGTATATATATATTTTTTTTTACTTTACATACTTGCTATCACATAACGGGGTTTACAAGTGATAGCATACTAATGGTGACAGGTTCTCTTTAAGGTGATATTAGGGGTCAATTAGACCCCTAATGTCACCTTTGTATTTCAAATAAGCTATTGGAGAGCAAATTACGCTCCAGTAGCTTATTGCTCGGCTTCTGTGTGCACTTTTTTGGTGTGTTTTGATGGGCCTTAAGGCAACACATATTAAAGCATGGCATTAACGCATGTGTGCTTACGAAGAGCAACAGTGTGAGTGCACCCTAATGCAGATTTTCAGAATATAGTGTGCCAATATAAACTGTAAAACGTACAAAAGCATATATAATTTATATTTACCTTTTCTACAGGAGGAATGTCATTTTCCATTTCCATTGACCTTGGTCTTAGCTTAATTGGTTTGTCTTTGAAAATATCCCCGAAGCCAAATCCCCTGATCTTTTTCGTCTGGTTTTCTGCTCCACTTGTTCCATTGGTCCCTTCTGATTTGGAGTCGCCCCCATGACTCTCAGAGCCAGCAGTATCTTTAAACCCTGGCAGGAAGGAAATGGTAATTGCAATGACAATCCTTCAACAGGATGCAATCATAACATAACCTCATATACTGAAAATGAAACAGTTTATGATTTTAACAATATACAGTAAAAGATTGGATTATTTATATGTCATTTAGTGTTTTTTTTAACATATATTTTATTAAATTTATAAAATGTCAATTTTTCACAAATGTGTAGCCACACAGTAAAGAGATGTCAGACAAATAAAAAGCTAGATAGACGGCAACAGTGACAAGAATACAGTCAGAATAGAAAAGGTTAACAGGTGTCAGTTACCTGTTTTTTAAGCAAACAGCAGTGCTCAGTATAGTTTGAAGGAACAGACTTATGTACATATCATCCCTTGGGGAGTTCAAAGTAATGTTAGCTGATGTATCTCCAAACCGTTGTGGAGATGTTGAGAGCAATGGTTGGGATCCATAACAACCATGTACCCCCAGGAGTAAGGGGATCGACAGAAGATAGTAAAGATGAAGATAGATGGAGAACTGAGATGGTCAGAGGGGAGGGCGCAGAAAGGGAGGTGTGTGTGTGGGGTCCGGCTGGGGTACCTGACATCAGGGTCCTTTTGTTTGCTTGGTTGAGAGCAAACGCAGTCAAGGTTCATGTGGTGGTGGTAGTCCAGATAGGGGAAACATTGTAAGAAATTTAGAATGAATATCATTTTGAGTGGCTGTAAGCTTCTCATGTATTATGGTGCCCATTATTCTCTGATTTACCTCCATAACATTTAGGATTGGTCTACTGAGTGGCTATAAAGGTAAAACTTGTTTGTTTCCTCTCATGCTTAGTGACGTCAGACATTGGTGTGTTTAGTAAGGCCTCTTAAGGAATACAAGACAGGTCTTGATTTAAAAACATCTTATTAACTTATGTACTCATATACAGAGTCTTTGTGCCTCGAGACGCTCCCATCATATGTAGTAAGAACGTGCCATGTTCCTTTCAACCCATTAAAGAACATCAGTGAGAGATTTGCCTATACTTCAAGGGTTATATAGCAATGGTTTAATGTGCAAATTATGTGTATTTTCTTGAGCTAAAAAGGTGTTCTTAAACACAAATTCTCAGCACTATTTATATTTATTCTGAGACCAAGGGACAAAATCATTTTTTTTACTTACAGGGAAATAATACAGTTGTACAATTACAGTACAGTTTGCAAAGTGAAGAACTAAGCAACATTGTGAGGTAAAGCAGATTAGCCATTACACACAATGCAATCAGTGGCAGAACTAACACAATTATTGGCCAAGTAAGTTGGTCATTTGAATCCTAAATGTAAATCTCCCTTAAAGCATAAATTTGGTATTATCAATCAGGGATTTAAGCCTAAACATCTGGATGAAGTCAATAAATACCATGGAGAATGTGCAGTTGGTCATTTATTTTTTCCAATGGCATAATGGACAGCTTTCTTCTCTATTGTATTATTTCTGCTATTTTTGATAACCTGCTGTCCAACCGGAACAGTTTTAAGGATAAATATTCCCCCAGATAGTGAAAATCCCTAGAGAATCCCCTAGGGGAGCCATTTCACATAGTACTTGATCCTGTTAAGATCTGTGCAGTGATCTAGGAATACCAATTACTGATACCTTTTTTTAGTGTCATGTGATAGTTTTTCTAAAACAATACAGACCAAAGATTTCAGGACAGTGGTGAAGTGAATCTCTCTAAAGGAATACAGAAAGCTATAAAGGCCTGACAGTACAGTAGCCTTCACCACTCTATCCAAATCTAAAAAGAGGTTTGCCTTTAGTTATACTTTAAACTGGCTATCTCCCAAATATAGCCCTCCCCCCTCCCAGAGTGTATGAGTGCAGTAGGGATATCAAATTGTTAACTTTCTCAGTAACAGGGTCCCGACTGACCCTGTTAATTAATACATTGTAGTGTTCTCTGTAATGCTGTAACTATACTATAATACAGGAGAGAACATCTGCGCATCAGAAGACACATTGATACTCTTGTACTTGAATGATTCATACTTAAAGTGTATGTAAACTAGGGATACACAGATACCGTTTCTTTTTTCCGTACTGAATACCGATACTAGAAGTCCCATTAAAGAATCCGGGTGGCATGCAATGACTCGCGGCCCCGCTTCCTGATTAGCTGGGAAGCAAGTTCCATGCTCCCTCATCACCAAGTGACGAGGGAGCATGGAGCCGGCTTCCCACCCAAATCAGGAAGCCGGGTGGCATGTAATGACTCGCCGCCTGGCTTCCTGATACAAGAAGGTGCGGTAACGGCATAAGTATCGGGAGAATTTGGCCGAGTACGAGTACTCGCTCAAATACTCAGTATCGACACCGATACCAATACTAGTATCGGTGCATCCCTAATGTAAACCCCAACAATTAGCTTTTCTAATTTGCTCCCTTTTGGTTTGTTAAATATACAATGGAAAGAATTTCCAAATTCAGAGCTGTCTGTTGTCAGCTCACAACAAGACTTAGGAGCTGAGTGCATTTCTGGTAGATCAATAGGTAATTTTCATTATTTGCAGGGATAAAAGATAGGCAATGTACATGCATTGAAGAGATGTACTGCATATGTTTGTTTTTGTTTTTGTCCTGACATGTACCTTATTATTTCAGCTTAAGCAAGACACTTTACTCTACTTGAAGATCACACTGTCCTAACTTTTCCTTTGCTTACTTAGCTCCCATGAGTCCCCGTCTGTCCTTGTGCCTCATCTCTGGCAAGATGCCTAAACCTAATAGTAATAGTATATTAGTTTTATTCTTTACGATGCAGCCTCTCCCATCAGCAGCCATAATTACAGTCCACTCATTTAAACATGCAGGAAAAATGACATTATCCTTTCTGAAACTGTAAAAAAGCTATAACAATCTTTTAAACAGACATTATGAGTTTGTAAAAGGGCACAGGGAGCACAGTAGGTAATTAGCTAATTGAATAGCTTTCTACTAGGTATGCTACTGTTGATTATTGCTAAGGGAGAATCAATGAGAGAGTCATCTGAACAAAAGCTTTCACGGAAACTCTGCAATTTAGATATGCATTGATTTAAAAACGATAGGGCATTGATGATTTATGTGTGCAGCTATAAAAGAAAACTTGCAACCCTTTATTCAAAAGAAAAAAGGAGGCTTTTTATAAAACTTTTTTATTGGAATTTTTTCACAAAAAAATCATGGAGATTACATATATCTTTTTATTACAGAGATACATCACTTATAGGTTCCTAAACGAGACACTTAATTAATATCTATCTACTTTGATCACATAGGACAGTGGTCCCCAACCCCCGGACCTGCACTTTGTACAATATATAAAAAATACAGGGTAGGGAAAAAAAAGGAATTCAGTGTCTAAGGGCTTGTTCACACCAATAGACTTCCTTTGCCACATTAAAATATCCTTTAAATGATCCTAATAAGTCCCATTAACTGGTCTTGCAGATGGGTGTAAACTGCTCCAATGTGTCCCAACACATAACTAAGTATTCTGCACTTCCAGGTTGAGAATGGATAACAGAGCTGTAAGGAGGATGGGGGGAGCACACAGGACATTTCCCATCACCAAACAGGTAATGTACACTATATGCCAGCAAGCTTTCCCTGAACTAGGTAAGGGCAGGAAATGCAGCTTAAGGTGGGTAGACTTAAGGTGACCTAATGTGGGTAGATATACCTTGATACATAGTCATACATAGTAAAGGGACGCCCAGACATATTAACTGCATTAGGGTCTTGGAAAAATGGCAACCCTACGTGTGAACAATCTCACACAAACAAACAAACTCATAGTACTGCTATAAAGCCTATTACCAATAAGCTACCATACTGGTGACTAGTAACAAGTAGTCTACATATTAACTCTGTTCTGGTATTTTATTTTTTTAATAAATTGGCAACAAATGCATGTCAATATTTTGTAGACAATACCAAGATAAGCATTTTGGACAAGCAAAAGCTTGCTGTGATCTATAACTGAAGACCTCTTCCTTACATACTCTTTTTCACTTTTACCTAGAAGAATCCATCAATAGTCAACCTGCTCATGATAAGGAACAAAAGAAACCAAAAAGCCCTCTACCTATAGCACTGTAAAATGCAGCAGTGCCTTCTTCAAACAGAATATTTGGAAGTGAAAAAAGAGCTCTGGACGTGATTAATCTTTTGGTGTTTATCATCCATTAGTGGCCAAGTGATATGAATGTGTATAATCTGGCTAATGGACAGGCAGCTATCGCTGACCTAAGGGTCTCCACATTATCCTTGGCTTAACACTGAACACAGTAGATGTAGGAAATGAAGTGCCAGTAATAAAATAGTCCAGATACCACTTTATTCCACTAGAGTCGGGGGACAATCGAGTAGAATAGTCAATGTGTTTTGGGGTTCAAAAACGCCCCCTTCATCAGGGATTGAGCTGTGATGAGAATACTTGAGGCTTATCAGCAGCGGGCCTCGTCAGCAGCGTTCCGTTGCCGGGCAACGGGCGGCCTCCACTCAGCGCTCCACTCCTCCTCCCGCTCGTCAGCTGAGCCGACGTGATGAGTCCGGCCCCACGGCGTCCCGTTGCTAGGAGACGCTCGGGTCGGGTCTCGTCTCTGGCTCCTCCCCCAACCACCGCTCACTGCCTACAAAATCGTAGGCTGATCACTTGCTCGGCGTTCTAGCAAAGTAGTACGTCGAGCAAGCTATCTAGGAGATACACTACTTGGAACCTATCCTAAAAACAGTCTTCAGACCTGACCTTATCAGCCTTGGATCCCTGGCAGTGTTGACTCAGGAACACAGCATATCTGGATCTCTCTCATCTGAACAGCAAGTAACCATTAGCACTTGTATCCAGTCTTGTGCTGTGTTTATGTTTAAACCACCTGGTGGGAAGTGCCACTTACAGATTCCACTATAGAAACACTGTTGATTGATTCACTGCTGCATAGGACTGTTGTATGCCTTTGATACTTAAGGAAGATAAATGCTGAGGTTTAGTGA